GATCGAACCCGGGCCGCCGCTATGGGAAGCCAGGGACTAACCGCTTGAGCTATGGCGCGGCCTTGAAGTAAGTAAGTCTTTTGTTACTGTGTAACAATATCTTAGATTAGCATTTTGTTTTCAAAATACCTAACTGTTGTCACAGCGTCATTATACAGAGTGATTCTATAGTATTGTCTGGGTTTCCGTTTATAGTTCACGGAAACACCGACAATAATTTAAAATCATATTGTATTAGCGGAATTTTCAGCCTTGTAGTTAGGGCTCAACTTGAACAGTACGTGCTTAATCAGAAAGGGGAACTTGTACGGATCTGTAACAGGGACCCAAACAAACAGAGGTGGTCCTGGAAACTTCAGTAAAGATGTACCAAGAGATAAGAATAGAACATGGCTCTAAGAACAAATTGATTTACTTTGCCTGCCCTGATATTATCAGTTCTGAACAACTGCTAGGTCCACAGAGTATATGCTAAGTTTCTCCTCTCGCCGCCATGCGCCTAGAAAGGAGAAGTGCAGGGTTGTGGCTGTTTCAGAAGAGAGTCAGAAGTGAGTGAGAGGAAGTAGGAGGAGAATCATAATTTGTACTCTTCTCAGAATTGAGATGGGCGGGAAATGTAGCATACATGGCAGAAATGAGAAATGGATACAGGGTTTTAATACAGGAAATTCTCAACGGACGAGATCATTTGCAGGACAATATTAGAGGGGATCTTGAAGCAACGAAGCGTTAGAACATGGACCGGAGTCGCCTGATGAACATGCTCCATTGTCCGGCTGCTGTAATACGGTAATGAATCGTTGGGTTCTATAAAAACAAGGGGCATGTCTTGATAATCTGGGCTGCTGTTGGTGTCCTCAGAACGACTAGACTCCTTGCCCATCCCACCTTCCCTGCAAGTGAGAAATACCGGTTTGTGTTTCCCCATTTTGATTGCCTAAGTCTTATGGTACTTTCCTATGCAATGGGCCCTTACTTGTGTACGGTTGCGTCATCTTGGGACATTGATATAGATCGTTACGTCATTATTGAAAATGCGCTAGATTCTATGTTCAGTATCTGATGGGAATGAAAAGAGTCATGCCGGAAATCTCATTCTGCACAAAGCATTTCGTTTCTGAAAGGTTGCCTACCTAAGGTTTGACATACCCTCAGGGCTGTTGAAGGCGAAGTTTCCTCTTCCACGTTTATCTGGGCAGACCACATAAACCGTTATAAACCTCATTCCGGACATTTTTTTTTTTTAGTTTCTTTGGTTGGGGTGAGACAGTCCCCTTGGCACGCCGGCTACTAACTGGCCTGTTGTACCAGCTCCGGATGATAGATGAAGAGTGTGGAGCAGTCGGTAGAAGGAAAATTCGCAGGGAAAACCGAAGTACTCAGAGAAAACCTTTCGCAGCGCCACTGTGTCCACCAGAAATCCCACATAACCTGACGTGTGCTCGAACCCGGGCCGCGGCGGTAAGAAGCATGAATTATGGCGCGACCAAGGACAACCTATAGTGCAGTCGAGATGCTAATTCGGCATCTCCCGGATATTCAGCAAAAATTTAACCACTCCGAAACGTCGTTATATTTCTTTGCTTCAAGTTACATTCTTCGTGATTTAAAGAGATGTTACTCACTGTTTCCGCCGTTAACATTAGCTTGGAAAAAAGGGGGACGTATTTGACCTGTAAATAAGATGGGTTGGCATGTACTGGAGTAATCTGGCTCAGGATAGGGACCAGTGGAGGGCTCTTGTGAACACGGTAATGAACCTTCATGTTCCATGAAATGTTGGGAAATTCTTGATTAGCTGAGCGACTGGCGTCTTCCCAAGAAGGACTCAGCTCCATGTTTTATTTTTCTAAAATATTGAGCGCAGAAAGCACTTCATAAAAATTGTGATAAGAAGGGAGTCTGTTCAAGCGTCTGCCATTTATTCAGCGGAGGGCTGATGACGCGCAAACCTGCACACATGCTACAACCGTACACTCGCATTGATGGAAAGCAATGGAAAATGGCTGTGCACGAGGCAATGATTTTTTGCTTTTTCTAGATTGACCTAGAAGCCGTACATATCATGTCATGTTTGTCAGACTGTCTGTAATTCGATATTCTGTGTGTCTGCCTCCAAACTACAGAGGATTTTAGGTTCCCACAGGGTGGTTGTGAAAATTATCTCCTTCTGGGACATAATGGGCTACACGGCGTTGTATCCTACAAAACAGAACTCGTAATACTGTAGCGTGTAGGCCGTTACTGGGTAACGACCTAGAAACAAACAATTCTACAACAACCGTTACTAGGCAACGACAGCTAGAAAAGCAAATATACAAGAACCGTTACTGGATAATGTCTTCGCAAATAAGCACGTCCCACGGATACCCTTGGCGTACTACAATACACTGTGTTTTCTATGCGGTCCGTTCTGAGATGTTATAACCGAGATAAGTTGTAAGAGAGTCAGTTGGCCCCCTGAGGCTCACCTTACGCTGGATGGAGAGAATATCCCCTTTGCCAGTCATGTAAAATGCCTGGGTGTAATCTTCGATAAGTGGATTACATGGAGACTGCACATAGAAATGATTCAAGCCAAGGCCTTCAGAACATTTATTAGAATCTACTCCCTATTCAAAAGTGAGCGTTTAAGGGCCTTCATTAAACTAACCCTTCGTAAGGCAGTAATGACTTATCCTTATCCCGCCTAGCAATTAGCGGCTGACACCCATCTCTTAAAATTGCAGAGCCTACAAAACAAAATTCTCCGGTCCACTTGAAATTTCCCAAGATGCCCGGCGGTCCTCGATTTTACACAGCATTCAACCTTCCGAATGTACACGACTATATAACAAAATTGCGCAGACGGCAACCAGAAGTCATACAAAATCATGATAATGAACATGTTCGCGGTATACGACCAGATGAAGCCAAACATAGAAAATATAAGAGGAATAAATTTGGCGGTGGTCAAGCTTACGACCATTCAAACATCTAAGTTGCCGTTGTAGCATAAGATAACAGCTTATGCTGACAGAGGACTTGTATGTAGTGCAAAAGCAGGAATTTTCAATAACATGTTATATGTGCGAAATAAACAACTGACGATAGGCCAAGCGTATCCATAGGAGACAAACCCATCTTGTCGTCTGAGAGGATGTTACATAAGGACTATTACGGCAAGAATTAATTTAGAAAATCTCTGGTAACGGACCTCAAGGGGCCTGACGCCAAGACGAAGCGATTCGCGGTAAACCGCCAGTCGTAAAGTAATTCTGACTCTGACTCTGACTCTGACTCTGACAGAGTCGGTTATATGTCGGTTGTACGGGAGTCTGTGAAGAGAAGACTTAGTCGGTGCAGTTGAAGATCCCAACTGTTAGAAGCCGTTAGCAGGGGACGACTAGTGTACTCTGTAGCAGACTGAAGACTTAGGGTGTGTTGCAGTGATTTGTAAAGTGTGGGAATCAGCGATGTCGCTATAATTAAGTGTAGTCATGAATCATGTGTTAAAGTGGTCAATAAAGCCAGTCTCCAATCCAAACCCCGTTGAGAGTGACTCTAGCACGTGACAATATGATACCTGCTTAAGTTGCAAGCTGTTATCGACAACGTTCTGTGTTCTGTATTGTTACTGGAGTGACATAATCATGCTCCTAACTATACAAACTGGATCACGATGTAAATGACGATTTTCAATGTGTGCTGTCCCGCTTGGCAGGCCTGGAGAAACCTACGAATATCCTCAGTCATTATGAAGAGTGTCTGAACCAATGTTCCCTCTAAGCTGCGCGCATGCGCTGCAGCGCAGCGGCTGTCGTGGTCCCGCACACAAGTCTCAATCTCCGCGGCGGCCCGGGTTCGATCACCGTTCTGGTCAAGTGGGATTTGTGGTGGACAAAGTGGCGCTGGGGCGGATTTTCTCCGAGTACTTCGGCTTCCCTTGCCGAGTGGACCCAGTTGGACTTCACCCCCCACTAAGCGAATTAAAAATAAAAGAGTCCCAATCTCCCGGGAAATTTTATTGGTTTAGTACAGAGTCAATTTGTTGGTAAACTTCAGTTTCTTGTTATTTTAGAAACTTATAAATTTAATGTTTGTTGTAAATATTTTTTAAAAATCGCTGCCCTCCTGGGTTGCGCAAGCCAATGCAATTGTTTCTCAGAAGACACCATGACTTGCGCACTTCCATCCCTGATTAGGAGTGGACGTTGGTTTTGGCACAGTTCAGAACTTGGAACCCCAAGAATATTAAGGAGCCCTAACCACTATGCCAAAGCGTGCAACGACCCCGTTGTGACATGCTCTGTGTGAGCGAAACTGGCAAAGAGTTCAGATTCCAAATGAAATTATATTCCAAGTATTTTGGACCGACAATGACGTAATCTTGCTGTCGTGCGCGCAAGCGGAAAAATTCTCATTCGGAAAGAAGAATTGGTTCCCTCTAGCACGTATAGGTTACGTGAGATAAACTGTCGTATTCACTCCGTAAGTCACGAGCTAGCATTTGAAAGGTCAGGGTCTGATTCCTACCAAGGAATTGGGATATGTCTTTACGCCACTGTGTCCATTCAGTTTCACGCTCAAGCTGCTTTATCTCCTTTATCTCGCCCTCGGTTTCCAATATGTACGAGGATGGGTTGGCCCACAGACGAACTGGAATCGAACTCCCATCGTCAGCTCATAGTCATACACTTTACTGTCGAAGCTATTCCGAATCACATTAAACTGTTTGTGTCTCTTACTATTAACGTTGTTCTTTCTTCCGACCGCTAAAGACATTCCAAGAATCTCATCAAAACGAACAGATCCACTTCGTTCCACCTGAGTTGTAAAGACGCATAAGAGACGGGAAAGTACCTGCAATAACATCAGCTGCAGGGAGCGGGAAGGACATGCAAAGCCACAGCGCGTTGTGCCGCCTTTAAAATCACTGTAATTTATGACGTCACATGTGCTCCAACTGCTGAAATTCTCTCCTCGCCGCAGTACGCAACTGCAGCAGTTCGCGTGTCTTCTCTCAGCAGTAAACACGTATTGTTCTAGCGTCTATGGACTTGTGCGTAGTTGTCAATAGTATTCTTGTTACGAAAACCGCGTGCCGTCAAGGACACTTTCCGTTGACTTTTGCAACAATGCGGATGTCCTGTACGAATAAGAGCTGAGTCACACTTGGCGAGAACTAGTAGCTAATTGCCATGTTGTTATTCCTGGCAAAGAAAACTCTTTTTATTTGAATATTAAGCGCGTACGTGTACTAATATTATATCACCTGTTAACATGACATCATTTCACGTCAAATGTCAGGTAAGTGCGTAATTATGTATACGGGCCACTGTGTGTACCAAATTAAAAGTACAGGTCGTGTGTGAACAGTGCATTGTCATTGGCACTGGGGCCCAGTCTGTGTGACTGTGTGTGAAAACGGCATTAGACTTAGATTTAATTTTTATGTAGTGATATTATTTACGTTTAATAGCACAAATATTTTGTCCGTGAAACGTTTTTATGGTATGAAGAAAGGTGTCACGTGAGAATTTAGTTTGCACGTTGTTAGTTGTCTTACTTACTTACTTACTCACTCACTCACTCACTCACTCACTTACTCACTCACTCACTCATGGAGCTGAGCCCTTCTTGAGGAGAAGCCAAATCTGCAGCTACTCAAGAATTTCCCAGAATTTCATGGAACCCGAAGGTTCGTCACCGTGCTCACAAGAGCCCTCCACTGGTCCCTATCCTGAGCCATATCAATCCAATCCATCCCATTCCATCCTATATCTCTAAGATCCATTTTAATATTGTTCACCCACATACGCCTTGGTCTTTCCAGTGGTCTCTTTCCTTCTGGCTTTCCCACCAATATCCTATATGCATTCTTCTTCTCCCCCATTCATGCTACATGCCCTGCCCACCTCATCCTCCATGACTTGATCATTCTAATGATACTTGGAGAAGAGTAAAAGTTATGAACCTCCTCATTATGCAGTTTTCTCCAACCTCCTGTCACTTCATCTCTCTCCGGTCCAAATATTCTCCTCAACACCCTGTTCTCAAACACCCACAGTCTATGTTCCTCCCTTAATATCAGAGACCAAGTTTCACACCCATACAGAACCACAGGCAAAATTATAGTTTTGTATTCGTCTATTCTAATTTTTATATTTTTGGACAGCAGACGAGAAGAGAAAAGGTTCTGGAGCGAATGGTAGCAAGCATTAGCCGAGTTCAGTGTCCTCTTAATTTCCTCCTGAATCGGGTTTCGATTTGTTATCGTCTTTCCCAAACATCTGAACTGTGCCACATTTTCAAAACGTCTGTTTCCTGTCTTTATGTCATGTCTGTTGTTAGTTGTCTGGGTAGGAAGAAGATAGACTGTGCGCATGAAGTTGCGAACGCTGGCCCCGTCTTCGTCTCCAGGTTAAGAAGGTCGACCGCTAGATAAAGCCTTTCCTTATCGATATTGTTAGCACTGCGAAACGTATCATGACAAGGTCCCGTGAAATTGGCCTAAAGCCGTGAACCATAATGCGAACCACAAGTTACAGATCCAGACTTAGCATTTCTGTTCATATCATGTTATGTACCCTCATAACTTGGTACTAAACAACTGTCGCGTGAATTGCAGTATTTGCAATTTAACCAACAGCTACAGATGGCGTGCACGCTGTAGGTCTCTGTGTTTTTAGATACGATAGCAAGCTATGCAGACTTCATTGCAGTTATTGGATTCTCGCCCTTATTGTACAGTTGTTAGTAAAACTGTTTTAATACGTGTGTCGATACAGACGTAAAGTGTTCCCTGTACTTAAGTAAACACCACGCCGTGAAAACGTATGTGGCGTGGAGGTATAACTCGAAGAATTCTTTAAAACCTCACCACGAATTCAGGTGAGTGGAAAAATTCAATTTCCGGCGTCTTTATCCCCGGTCGTCATCATCATCATTAGTAATCTGTCAAGACGACAGGTCCACAGTCTCTTCGAAAACAATTCCTCCACTTAATGCCATCTAGAGCTTTCTCCTTCAAATGACAGTATCATCTTCTGTCCCCACGGTCATCCAGCATCTTCACTCGTCTTCTTGTCACTTCTATCCGCCCCTCTATCTTTCCTTCAATAACTTCATTTACAAGGCAGTTACCGCGTAAGATATGACCAATCCAATTAGCCTTCCGTTTTCTTATTTCGTGTAGGATATTCCTCTGCTCACTGACTCTAATTAACACTTCTTCATTTCTCACATAATCAGTCCAACTGATCTCCATCCTTCTCCAACACCACATTTCTAAAATCTCCGGTATCCTGGATAAGAAACTGTGGGAGTCAAAGAGCCTGTCTAACGCAGAAACGGAAGGAAGAATTCCTGTCCCTTCCGAGAATCTAACCCCTGCTCTCCAGCTCGTACTTAGTGACTGTTGACACTGTCTCACTGCCCGGTGTATGGTATAGTATTTAAAATTGTGGTGCATTTTCGTGGGAGCAGTTTGCAGTACTCAGCATCCCATTCGGCTCTGCTCTCCAGAGTGTCATGGCTTCTCTGAGTAGCTACACGCAGCTAGCGACGGCGATAAAATTAGAATAGCACCTTAAATTCACTGGATTCGTTACTCAGCTGCTCTACGGGAACCACAGAGATGATGACTAAATACTGTATTAAATATTGCAGTTATTTTCGCCTCTTCGGTGTTGCTATTCCGCAATTCCTCTCGACAGAACAAGAATAACTACAGTAATTTCGGTCGAAATGCAATTCAGTGTCCCCCTAGATACGAGATACATTACCGCTAAGCTAAAGGAGCCAGGTGACGGCATAGACGTACGATAAACCATAGCCTGAGGGGCACCGGATTGTCTTAGTGCTTCGTGGAACAGTCGTTTTTCTATAATTCAGCGCAGAACAACTGTTCATGAATATTCATACGAGATTAACTAGTAACTTCATATGGTCTATAACTGATACTGAATTTAATTAATTAAATAGTTAATGAATGTGGAGCGGTTCGTGGAATGCAAAATGGCGGGGAAGACGAGGTACCGGGAGATAACCCGCCCCTGTAGCACTTTGACCTGACCTGAAAGTAAACCGGTCGCCCTGGTGGGAAGCCAGCGAACTAATCGCCTGAGATATGGGCACGGCCCGAAATGGAGTTCGCTGCAGCCTAATGTAAGTAAGGAAAGGGAAGACACGACGCTCTGGCAGGTCCATAAGCCCCCACCCCCGATGTACGCAAGTGGTCTGCAATGACAGGCTGTACGAAATAGGGACGCATCTTCGATAGTTTAAACGTAAAATTAAAGTCCCTTCTCTTCTGTTACTGAAATTATTTTAATATATTTTCCGATAACCTTTCGAATTATTAAAAATGCGTGTTTGTTAAGTATTCTTGTGATGACTACCGTGGAGTCGGAGTTCGGGTCCCGCCAGGATGAATTATCTCTTCTCCACGTCGTCGAGACCGTCCCTGGATTCCACCCACCCTCCTAACAAATGGGTACTGGGGGATGTTTTCCTGGGGTTAAAGCGGCGGGGTCGTTAAGCCGACCACTCACCTCCAACTAGCGCCGAGGTGAAGAAAATGTGGATCTATACATCCACTCCTCCATACGCCTTCATGGCGTAGTGCTTATTTAGTTAAGCACAGGGATAACTTTACCTTCCCTTTGTGATGCATATTGTCAAAAGTGAAACGTGCTAACCCACTTCCAGAGGAGGGAAACTATTCGTCCCAGCTCATACCTACCGAGTGCAGCAGTCTCCTCTTTCAGGCAATATATGAATGTTCATAGTTATATACGTGTATGACTTGATGCTGACTATAGCCTTTACCAGGTCAGGGAAACATGATCATTTAGAATCTCACTTGTACGTATGATTAGACAGAAAAACAATTTGGCCTCTATGTGACCACTCTAAGAAATAGCAGAATTCTTTAGACAGAAATCGTTGGAAATTATAGTTGCATTTAAATGTGTAAATAGTTACCGAAATTAGCAATATACTCCAGGAACTCTGGAAGAGTGAACTCACTTGTGATAAGACTGCTTATGGGCATATACAAATGTCAACTAGTTTTGACACGGCGTAATACTATTCAGTTGCCGGTCACGGTAGCCGAGCGGTCTAAGGCATACACTGTCTTCGTGGGATCGTGGGTTTCAATCCTACTCAGGGCATGGATCTTTAGTGTTGTGTGTGTGTGTGCATGTGCGTATGCACGCGCGCGCGCGCGCGCGTTTTTCTGTTTGTGTACAGGTAGAGGCCTTGCGACGAGCTGATCACCCGCCCAAGGAGTCCCAGAGAATATCTAAGATCTAGTAAACCGAAGTGAATGGCCGTGCCATAGCTCAAGCGGTTAGTTAGTTAGTTAGTTAGTTATTGGAGAGGGTGGGTTTCCCCATGCACTTAGAGCAGTATTGGTCCATTGTGCTGCCCTCTATGATATTCTACCAGTCTCTATACCCTACCGATATTGGTGCGTACCATCAGTCCCGCCGAGCCAGCGAGTTCTCTTCCACTGGCTTGGTGGTGTCTATAATGCTTCCCCCATCTATCAGAGGCGTTAGAGACTACTGTTGGGCGGGAAACGTCCTTGAATTTGGCTCAGTGACCTCCTTTGGAGATATGAGGTTCTTTTACGTGCCATAAAGCTACGACACGGGACACACGGCTTAAAGTCCCTCCCGGAGGACTTGTTCCCTGAATTTTTCCGCCCTTAAAAATTCGGCGACCTCCGCCGGGTTTTTGAACCCGCGTACTACGAGTCATGAGGTGGGAATGTTACCTCTAGACTACGGAGGCCGCTAGCTCAAGCGGTTAGTCGCTGGCTTCCCACCGCGGCGGCCCGGGTTCGATCCCGGGTCTGGTCAAATGGGATTTGTGGTGGACAGAGTGGCGCTGGGGCAGGTTTTCTCCGAGTACTTCGGTTTCCCCAGCCAATCTTCATTCCACCAATTGCTCCACACTCACCCTCACCTACCATCTGGGGCCAGAAGTGGCCGCAGTACAAGGGACTTAGTCCCACCCCACTAGCAATAAAAACAAACCGAAGTGAAACGGAGAGTTTCATGGAAGTTGGCCAAGGCCCAAATTGGGGCCGTAGCGCCAAAGAAAACAAAATTCTCTAAGTTCGATCATGAGTTCTGATTTCACTCGAGTTAGGAGTATATGCCCGAGTCTTTACTGTGTTTGTGATGTCCTCTTTAGGCGGAGATCTTGCGACGGGCTGATCCCCATCCAGAGTGTCCTAACGAATGTCTGAAAGATTCGTATTTTCAGAATTAATTCTGATTTGGAACAGGCCAGAG